CCTCCCCTCCCCTCCCCTCCCCTTTCTTTTCTTTTCTTTTTTCTTTTTGAGTCTTACTCTCTTGCTCAGCCTGGAGTGCAACAGCACCATCTCAGCTCACTGCAACCTCTGCCTCCTGGGTTCAAGTGATTCTCCTGCCTCAGCCTCCTGAGTAGCTGGGATTACAGATGTGCGCCACCACGCCTAGCTAATTTTTTGTAGTTTTAGTAGAGATGGGGTTTCACCATGTTGGCCAGGCTGGTCTCGAACTCCTGACCTCAAGTGATCTGCCGGCCCACCTTGGCCTCCCAAAGTGCTGGGATTACAGGCATGAGCCACCATGCCCGGCCTGTCACATTGATTTCTGATGTCTATTGTCATCTTTTCCAAGTGGTAGAATAGGCATACTGTCCTTCCAGAACAGCTGACGCTCTGAAGTTTACGAAGTTGGGTGAAATCTTTTGGATCAGACCTTTTTGATCAGAGTGCTCTGGGAACACCTTCTTCTACATAAAACCAGCCTCTGAATTTCAGTGTCTCGTTTCCCTTGGTCTGTTTCCCTATAATGGGGCAGTGGTCATGAGGGTGTGTCAGTGCTGTGATGTGAAAAGCAGCCAGTGTCCTGGTGTCCTGGGAAAGGTTACTTTCCTTAATCAGAACAAATCTTATTAATCTGAGGCAAGTGGTAGCACTGTGAGTGGCCACCTAGAAAGATGTGTGGCAGGAGATTCATGTCCACAAAGTATAACGCACCCCTCCACAACCACAACCAGCAGCAAACAGCAGGCCTGGAACCAACGAAAAGCCCATGTCGTGACCAGTGAATAAAACAATAGAACTTTGGAGGGGATAGTGCCACTCGAAGTTTACTGTTTCTACACACACACACACGCACACATTCACACATACACATGCACGCACATGCACACACACGTACACGCACACACATGCACACACATGCACACACACATGCGCACGCATGCATGCACACACACACGGCTGGCAAAGCACATAGCAAGGTGAGGGTCCTTGTCCTTGAAGATGCCACAGCCCTAAAACGGATTCTGAAAGGATTCTGCGTGTGCAGCTCAGCCCTGGGTGAAGCAGTGGGCTCTGCACCCCCACCTGGGGGCCCGGGGGCCGCGGGGCTGCTCGAGCCAGGGCCTGGGGCTCTGCCACTGGTGGTGTGACCTTGGGCTAGCCACTAGGGTCCTCAGGGCTCCCTGGCTTTCTGGGGGAGAAGTGGGGGATGAGCCGAGACACTTGTCCCATTTTCTTCCAGCTCTCATAACCACAACCACTTTGTGACATAAGAGTACAGGTGGGTTACGACTGGCTGAGGGCTCAGGGGTCCCTGGATCCCAGGGAGGGGTGAGATTTCTGGAAGTGGAGATGGCAGAGTGAATGCTGTGGACTGGACAGTGTCTTAAAAAGCATGGTCAACTAAGGTGACAAATGCTTACTGGTAAGAGGACAGCCCCAGCCTGGCTTCACTGATAATGTGCCTGGAATGGACCTGTGGGCCATCCCCGTAGGTGCTGTTTTGGTGGTAATTTTCAATGAATCCCTCTTTTCCCCAGTCCCATGTGGGAGGAGTCCATCCGAAGCTCCCAGGCCTGCCTAGCCGACCGACCCAGCCATGGCCCGGGCTCCAGGGCGGCTCAAGGGCTACCTCCTCTGGTGGTCCCTGACTCAGGTCCCAGCACAGCACCCCCACCCAGGTTGGCCTAGCTGCAGTTTGTCTGAGAGATGCTGGCAGTACCGCAGGTCGAAATCCTGTGAGAAGCTCCCACCTCCTGTCTCCTCGCCCTCACTGGGGCCTCTCAGGAAAGGCCAGCTTGTGAGCACAGGGGCCACGGCCAGGCCCCATTGTGGCCCAAGGGGCAGGTAGGGGAGGAGCTGAGGGGGGAATAGAGGAGAGAAGGGGGAGGTACATCCCGGCCCCTCTTTGCCTTCATCTGTCCTGTGTATTGGAGTATCTCAAGGAATCTTATTGGACAGATTCCTGAGAGAACTTGGGCAAGTGACTTGAACTCTGTTTTCCTCTTCTGTGAAATGGGGACAAGGACAGGCCCTCCCTCAAGGCGCTTCTCTGAGAGTTTCATAAATACAAGTTCACAGTGCAGTGCCCGGCTCACGCAAACGCTACTGCTGTTCTTGTCATACTTATTCTTTCCTTGTGGCCCCAAACCACTGGCCCTAGGGGACCCTTGGCTTCTCCACTCACAGGTGGTCACATCCTAGAAGTGGAGGAAGCTGGGGCCTTGCGCAGCAGACTGACCAGACCCTCACTGAGGGCCCAAGGTTGAGACTGGGTCATGGACAGCGGAGTCCTGGCGGTTCCCAACAAGACAGAGACGAGGATCAGCCCCTGAGGCCACCGCCCACTGTCAGCAACCCTGGGTTCCTCTCCTGACCCAGTGGAAGGCACAGCCACGCCTGCTCCTCTGGGGAAAACGGGCCCACACCACAGCCATGGTTCTGCTGGAGAAGCTGAGAAGCCACTTGGGGCTCCTTCTGGTCTCTTAGGCTGGGGATGCCTCTTGGGACTGGCTGGGTGGGGAGGTTTGGGTGTACCTTGTGGGGGTGGGGTGGGGACTGCAACACCCAGGAGGAGGCTCAGGGGCTCTATGCGGGGAGGCTGCTGTGATGAGCTGCCTGGCGTCTGATGGGCTTAGCCCAGGCTGGGCAGTGGGTGGCCTCACGTGGCTGTGGTGTGCTGAAGCTGAAACTACACGGCCACGGCACCGGCTGCCGTGTTTGGATGGGGCTGTCATGTGGGGCAGAGGGAGAGGCCAAGTCGAAGGTGATGGGGGAGTGGACACTCTTCTCAGTCACTGGAGAAGGGACAGGTCCTGGGGGCTGCAGAGGCCCGAGAGGCAGGGTCTGAACTCAGAGGACACCCAGGAGGGACCATGGAGGGGCTCCTTTGGGGAGCCAGAACCTTCTGGAAGCCCAGCTACAGGTGGGGACATGGGCAGAAGTGTGGATGGGGTGCAGGGAGGTGAGGGACAGAAGGCTAAGCCCGGTGATGCCTCAGGGTCAGACAGGAAGAGCTTGCACCCGAGGCCCCAGGTATCTGTGGGGAGGGGCCCAGCCCTTCCTGGTCGTGATCTCAGTGTATCCAGCCCTGGTGTATGCAAGTGTGACTGTGTGTGCAGGTGTGACTGTGTTATTCTGTGTGTGTGACTGTGCAGGTGTGACTGTGTTACTCTGTGTGACTGTGTGTGCAGGTGTGACTGTGTTACTCTGTGTGTGTGACTGTGCAGGTGTGACTGTGTTACTCTGTGTGTGTGACTGTGCAGGTGTGACTGTGTTACTGTGTGTGCAGGTGTGACTGTGTTACTCTGTGTGCAGGTGTGACTGTGTAGGTGTGACTGTTATTCTGTGTGTGACTGTGTGTGCAGGTGTGACTGTTATTCTGTGTGACTGTGCGCATGGGTGTGACTGTGTTATTCTGTGTGTGTGACTGTGTGACTGTGACTGTGTTATTCTGTGTGACTGTGTGTGCAGGTGTGACTGTGTTATTCTGTGTGACTGTGTGCATGGGTGTGACTGTGTTCTGTGTGTATGACTGTGTCGGTGTGACTGTGTTACTCTGTGACTGTGTGAGTGTGACTGTTATTCTGTGTGTGTGACTGTGTGTGCGGGTGTGACTGTGTTATTCTATGTGTGTGACTGTGTGTGTGTGGGTGTGACTGTTATTCTGTGTGTGTGACTGTGTGGGTGTGACTGTGTGTGACTGTGTGTGTGGGTGTGACTGTGTTATTCTGTGTGTGTGACTGTGTGTGCGGGTGTGACTGTGTTATTCTATGTGTGTGACTGTGTGTGTGTGGGTGTGACTGTTATTCTGTGTGTGTGACTGTGTGGGTGTGACTGTGTGTGACTGTGTGTGTGGGTGTGACTGTGTTATTCTGTGTGTGTGACTGTGTGTGTGGGTGTAACTGTTACTCTATATGACTGTGTGTGGGTGTGACTATGTGTGTGACTGTGTGTGGGTGTGACTGTTATTCTGTGTGTGTGACTCTGTGTGTGTGTGTGACCATTATTCTGTGTGTGTGACTGTGCAGGTGTGACACTGTTACTCTGTGTGTGTAACTGTGTGTGGGTGTGACTGTGTTATTCTGTGTCACTGGGGGCAGCAAGGGCCCCAGAATCCCCAGGAGCACCTCAGTGCACTCAGTACTGGCTCCAGTGTCACCCCCGAGCAAAGGCCCCTGATTCCTCCTGTCAGAGGAAAGAGAGTCCACAGGGCCTGGGTTGCCACCCTTCTCCCAGTGATGGGTACTCAGAGGTAATGACTCTTTCCAAGTTCAAGAACATCCTTTTAATCACAAACCACTCATCCACAAATGTGGCTATGGGGTAAGCAGCCTGGGCTGGGACCCTTTCCAGAGGTAAGTTGGGGTCACGTCCCTGCCCCCTTCCTAGGGTGGAAGTGGCCTCCAGCCAGGGGGGGCTTCCAGGTTAATGCCAGAGCCTCGACTACTTTGGACTCCTGTGAGCTCTTCTTGGTTGGAAGAAGGGGGGGTATTGCGGGCCTGCTCTGTCCCAAGGCTCCAGAAGCTGCCCCCACCCAGGCCTGCCTGGCCTCACCCTGAAGCCTGGGTGCACGGCAGCCTGGGCCCTGCCTACACGATGCCCTCTGTGTGCTTGCTCTGCCAGACCACCAGTGCCGTCACCAGCAGGGTCACCGTGATGGGGACCACGATGAAGGGGTAGAGGACGCTGCCAGGCGGGTCCCGCACGGCCCTGCCTGAGATGGGGCAGGCCCTGAAGTAGTGCCCGTGCACTGCCAGGAAGAACCTGTCCACCTCTGCGTTGGGCCAGAAGCAGCCTAGCTTCTCCGCCATGTGCCAGGTGCAGTCGGCCAGCTCCCTGTAGCTCCTGTGGATGGAAGAGGAGGTGGTGAGACCCTGGGCAGGCAGGGGAAACAACGCGGGACCCCAGCCGGGGGCGCTGCACCGTGGCCCCTCACGTGGCCCTGGAGCTTGGCTTGGAAAAGGCCCGGCACCGAGGCAGTGGCCCTGGATCCAGGAGGGCAGGGCCCCAACGGCTCCAGGGGGACTCCCAGGCAACCTGCATGGCGGCCCGTGGTGCAGGAAGCCCTGGCGTGGCTGTGGGGCCTCTCACAGCTCTGTCTGCACTGGAAGGACGACCTAGGCTGGGTGGCCAATGAGGCCCACACCTCTGCCACTGGCTCCTCTGCCACCAGCTCCTTCTGCTACCCCGGGCAAGGTCACAGGCTGGTGTCGCGTCTGTGTGTGACTGTTATTCTGTATGTGACTGTAACCGTTGTTCTTTGTGCATGACTATGTGTGACTATGTGTAACTGTTATTCTCTGTGTGCAACTGTGTGACTGTTATTCACTGTATGACAGTGTTATTCTCTGTGTGACTGTGTGTGACTGTTATTCACTGCATGAGTGTTATTCTCTGTGTGACTGTGTGTGTGACTGTTATTCACTGCATGAGTGTTATTCACTGTATGACTATTATTCTCTGTGTGGCTGTGTGTGTGACTGTTATTCACTTTGTGACAGTGTTATTCTGTGTGACTGTGTGTGGCTGTTATTCACTATATGACAGTGTTATTCTGTGTGACTGTGTGTGACTGTTATTCACTGTGTGACAGTGTTATTCTGTGTGACTGTTATTCTGTGTGTGACTATTTTCTGTGTGACTGTGTGTGTGTGTGACTATTCTCTGTGTGTGACTGTGTGACTGTTATTCTGTGTGTGGGTGACTGTATTATTCTGTGTGTGTGACTGTGTGACTTATTCTCTGACTGTGTAACTATAATATTCTGTGTGTGACTGTGTGTGACTGTTATTCTCTTTGTGACTCTGTGTGACATTGTCTCTGTGTGACTGTTATATTCTATATGTGACTGTGTGTGTGTGTTACTGTTCTCTGTGACTATGTGACTGTTCAACTGTTATTATCTGCATGTGACTGTTATTCTGTGTGTAACTGCGTTATTCTGTGTGTGACTGTTCTCTTTGTGACTGTGTGACATTGTGTGACTGTTTTCTGTGACTGTGTGTGACTATTTTCTGTGTGTGACTGTGTGTTACTATTATTCTGTGTGTGACTGTTATTCCCTGTGTGTGACTGTGTGTGAATAGCTGTGCTATTCTGTGTGACTGTTATTCTGTGTGTAACTGTGTAACTGTTATTCTCTGCATGTGACTGTAATTCTGTGTTACTGTGTGTGTGACTATATATATATATATAACTGTGTTATCCTGTGTGTGACTGTGGGTGTGACTGTTATTCTCTGTGTGTGACTGTTATTCTGTGTGTGTGTGTGTGAGACATTCTATGTGTGACTGTGTAACACTGTGTTATTCTGTGTGACTATGACTGTGTTATTCTCTGTGTGTGATTGTGTGTGTTATTCTCTGTATGTGACTGTGTAACACTGTTATTCTGTGTGACTGTTACTGTGCTATTCTCTGTGTGTGACTGTGTTATTCTCTGTGTGTGTGTGTCCCTGTGTGTGAGTGTAACTTGTTATTTTCTGTGGGTTTGTGACTGTGTTATCCTCTGTGTGTGTCCCTGTGTGTGTAACTGTCATTTGTGAGTGGTGTGACTGTGTTATTCTGTGTATGAACCTGTGTGTGCAGATGTGACTGTGTTATTCTGTGTGTATGACTGTGCGGGCGTGACTGTGTTATTCTGTGTGTGTGACTGTGTGTGCAGTGTGACTGTATTATTCTGTGTGACTGTGTGTGTGTACTTCACCACAGGGCCCCTGACCCTATCCTGCCATGGCTGCAGGTGCCTTTACCCACAGGTATGGCTGCCACCAGGCTACAGGGAAGGGAGTGGAGGTGGCTGTGCTGAGCCAGGGGCCCGGGTGGCACGGGCAGAGGGTGTGCCATTGGGGTGTTCCTTGGGCTTGGCTTGGAGAGCAGCCAACGCAGAGTCCCCTCTGCTCCAGGAATTCTAACTCTTGAAGCCGCAGCAGATGAACTCATTCCCACCCTGCCCCTTAGGTGCTCTCAGGACTCTGCTCCCCCAGGGTTCTCTGGGAGAGCAAACACCATCTGTTTCTGAACAACTTTTTCCATAGACAGGGGTTTGTAGGCCACAGCCTGCCCTTTGAAATGAAGTGGACAAAACCCAAGTGGACCCAGCCATCGGTGCTTTTCTGTGTCATCTTCCAACCCAGGACGTGGGTGCCAAGTGCCTCTTCCAGCAGAGGAAACTGAGGCTCTGAGACAGCACTGGACATGGGTAGAACCCAGACCATGCCGGCTCCTTCTGCCTCCAGCCCTGCATTTCCCCCAACCCCGTGACCTCCTGCTTCACAGAACAGCCCTGAGACTCAGGAAGAAAGGCCCCTCTGGTGTTGCATGGGGCTCAGAGCCTGTTCTCAGGGACTGACTGCCTGAGGGGTCTTGGTGGCATTCACTGTTGTCACCATTCCATGATAACTGCTGTTATCATGCAGATCCACTGGGTGCCCCTGCATGATAGGCACAGGCTCAGCAGGGCCTGTGTGTGATCTCGCTCACGCTTGGGGACCGCTGTTACCCATCGTTTTATAGACAGGAAAACAGAGGTTTGGGAAGGCTGGAGGGCTTCCGGGTGAGAGGGCCAGGGTGTGACTGCACAGGTCTCACACCTCACCACTGTCCCTCGCCCTTGGTGGCCAAATCTGGCCACAGCTTGGACACTTCCTTGTCTGGGTCCAAGTCGCACTCACTGGGGGTTGAGGCCACAGTGGGCATCCATAAGCCAGTAAGCCTTGAATGAGCCCTTGCCCCACAGGGGCAGCCTGAGTGCCTCTAGGGCAGTTGTCAAGTCCCCTTCACCCCCGTATCCACGATGCTAGTGTGATGCCAGGCTTGCCGTGGCAGTTGTGCCACCAGGGCTGCAGCCAGGGTAGGAACAGGCTCAAAGCCCTTTCCACCATCCCAGACTCTTCTCTCCTGGGACCAGATGTCTTAGGCTGCTGAGGGAGGAACAGCACAGCCTGTCGCCCCCAGGGCACAGACAAAGACCATGGCTGGTGGAAGGATAGGAAGGAACTCTTTTTCTTTGGAAGGGCACCAGGAAACCATCCTGGCCTAGGATCCTGCACCATACAAAACAGAGGCCTTGGCTGGGCATGGTGGCTTATGCCTGTAATCCCAGCACTTTGGGAGGCTGAGGCTAGTGGATCACAAAGTCAGGAGTTTGAGACCAGCCTGGCCAAGATGGTGAAACCCTGTCTCTACTAAAAATACAAAAATTAGCTGGGTGCAGTGGCGGGTGCCTGTAATCCCAGCTACTCGGGAGACTGAGGCAAGAGAATCGCTTGAACCCGGGAGGTGGAGGTTGCAGTGAGCTGAGATCACGCCACTGCACTTGAGCCTGGGTGACAGAGCAAGACTAAGACTCTGTCTCGAAACAACAACAACAAAAAACAGTGATCTCTTCTCGCTGGGGAAGGGACAGGACAGTCGCACCCAAGACCCCAGCAGGGTTTGTCTGCCACAGGAAAAAGGGGCAGGAATTCTGAGGCGAAGGGCACAGGGAAGGGCCTGTCTAAACTGAGGCTGGATCAGGACACAGAGAACCCTCCCCAAGCCTTTGAACATAACCTTGGTGTAGAATAACAAGCAGTACCTGTCTACTGCCAAGAGAAAGTGGGGCGAGATCCATGCTGCAGCACAGGCAGGCAAGAGAAAGCTGAAAGCAGAGGGTGGGGCACCACACTGAGAAATCTCCTCCAGTGCCCTAGTCCCAACCCTGGGCACAAGGCAATGGCAGCTCATTGCTAGGGGTACTTGAGGCCTATGGTACATTGAAGATAACCATATAACAATGACAAATCCCAAACCCAGTTCAATTCCTAACAAGATTGACTCAAATCCCACACTAACAGTCTGACAGAAGAGGCTTACCCATTTCCACATGTAAATACTATCGACTGTAGTCACCTCTGTTCTATACATGAATGTTCAGTATTCAATAAAAATTATATATATTTTTTTGTTGAGAAGCAACAAAAAACAACTAATCCATTGCCAAGAGGCAGAACAATGAATGGAATTAGACTCAGAGATGACCTAGATGTCAGACAGGTATGTTAGAATGGCTAGTATGATAATGGGTCTAGTGGAAAGGGTAGACAATATGCATGAACAGATGGAGAATTTAAGCAGAGAGGTGGAAACTCAAAGTCAAAGACAGGTTGCTAGAAATAAAAACACATAGCATCAGAGAGAATTCCTTCAGTGGGCCCATCAGTGGACACGAAAACTGAGGAAAGAGAGAAATTGAAGATATGTCAGTAGAAATTAACCAAACTGAAACACAAAGAGAAAAAAAAAGTTGGGGAAGACTACAGCATCCAAGAGCTGTGTAACATGACAATCCTGTAAATGACATCAATCTCAACTCATAATGTGAGAGTCCCTGAAGGAGGAGAGGGAATGGAGCAGAAGAAATATTTGAAGAGGTAATGGCTGAGGCTTTTAAAAAAATAATGAAAGACATAAAATTGCAGATCCAAGAAGCTTGGAGAATCTAAAACAGGACAGAAAACAAAGCAGCTACAATAGCAAACAACCACGTAGACACATCAAAGTCCAACTGCTGAACACCAAAGAAAAAGGAAAAAATCTTGAAGTCAGAAGAAAAAAGACATATAAAAGAACAGTGAGTTATAGCAGATTTCTTAATTTCTTATCAGAGGCTTGTCATGCGGAAAGACAATGGGCAACATTTTGAAAGTATTAGGGGTTGGGGGGAGGGGAAACACATTCTTGTTTTCTATGCCTACGAATTTTCTACATTCTAGGAATTCTATACCTAGAAAAAAAATACCTTTTGAAAATGAGGTTGACGCTGGGCACACTGGCTCACACCTGTAATTCCAGCACTTTGGGAGG